GGGCTGTAGACGCCGGCACAGAGGCCCACCACCCAGGCTCTGGTGTTGCCCAGCCTGACAGGCTACCAGTGAAACACACCGGGCCCACCACACACAACAGATTCCTGGACCCCGGGGCCAGGCTGTGTACAGACCACTAACATGCTTCCATTCACTGGCTCTCCTTGGAACATAAGTGTTGGGGGCAGGAAACGGAGGTGGTTCAATAGGATTTCTCTCCCATCCAGCCATTGAGAACTAAAAAGAGATGACACTTTCTGACCAGCTATCTGATCTGAGCACCACCAAGGCTGTGGCACTAAACAGAAGGAAGCTCAAGACGGGCCTTACCATAAGGGTATTTGGTATCCAGCTTACTCTGCGCTGTCCGACTCCAAGGCAACGCGTCATCGCTGCACCCATTTGGCATTCCGTTATACCCGATGCCCACGATCTTGTTTTCTGCGTTCACGATGCAGGCTCCGACCTACAGGGAGACATGCCCCAAAACTGGTGACATCAAGTAGCCAGCTGGCCACTGGACAGTAAATGAAGCCAGGGGCTTGCAGAGCTCCAAAGAGAGCATGCAGCTTCCAGCAGAGTGGTTAGAGCTCGTTCGTGCTCGCTCTCTCCCTCTCTCCTTGCTCACTTTCTCTGGCACCCCCCACAAGCCTGAGGAAACACCCCCTGTCCCCAGAGCGGGTACAAGAAGTGGTGAATGATGGAATGTGGAACAGGTATGCACACAGGGATGGGGCGCAAAAGACAGATTTCCTCTGCCTTTAGGTTGACAGGCATCCACAGGGTCTTTTCTCTTCATAAGTTGTTCAATTCACAGGTATCTCTGTGCCCGTGAGCGTCCAAGCATTCTAGAACACTCACTCACCTGCGAATTTGGATCTTTGCTTCTCTGTGCCGATAGGAAGGCCACGGCCATGAAATAGTCAGGCCACTCCAAGTAGTCATCACGCTTTTTGCAAGGAACTTCACTCATGCTGGGTCTGGATGGGAAACAGCAGGTGAGAAAAGCGTTTTTGGTGAATCTGCTTTCCGGTTCAACGCAACCACATTTAAACTTTGGGTCTGCAAACTTGGGACAGTTTCAGTTACAATCAGAAATCACAGATCATGGGACGGCAGGCAGTGTCTGGCCTTAAGAAAAAAATTAAACTATGTTACTACTTCAGAAGTTTGGGGGCGCCTGGGTGGCTTAGTCGGTTAAGTGTCCAACTTTCGCTTAGGTCATGATCTCGTGGTTCGTGGGTTCGAGCCCCGCGTCGGGCTCTGTGCTGACTGCCAGCTCAGAGCCTGGAGCCTGTTTCAGTCTGTGACTCCCTCTCTCTCTGACCCTCCCCTGCTCACGCTCGCTCTCTCTCTCTCTCCTAGAAATAAATAAAAATATTAAAAAAACACACACACAGAAGTTTGGATTTACATCAAGTTTCACGTTCCCAACTATTACGTCTAGTGCTGCTTTCTCACAGGACTTTTTTCAACTTAGTCCGAATGCCTGCCCCACAATTTGTTCTCTCTCCCTGAGGAAAGAAAGCCAGCACAAGAGGGAGGGAGGGAGAAAAGAGAGCATGTATTGATCATCTAATATATTTCAAACACTGCGAAAGGTCAAACACATCATCTTACTGAAGCCTCTTTCAAGCAAGGGTAGTAACATGGGGCGTTACAGACGCTCAGAGAGCTCAGGCTAACACCCTAAATCACACAGGATTGTTCTCCATGCCAGTCAAATGCCACTGGAGCTGTCCCAACTCTGATATTAACCCAATTAATGTGTCCCTCTTCTTTCCCCTTGGTTTCCCCAGATGAAACCAAAGTTACCAACTGCGAGTATTCAATCAAATGAGGAGAAACTGAAAAGGGTCAAGGGCCACGACTAAGGCGAAGTTTTAGGCCCTGGGGGCCTACCCAGTCAGGGCGAGGCCCCAGCTGCGCTCCAACAGGGAGAGGCCCCCTGAAGGGGACCTAAAACTTCCCGTAAGGCCTGGGGTCCTTTCAAGGGAGCCCCAACAGGGCAAGAAGGAGGGCAACTCAAGAACTGAGAAGTCTTGTAGGCATCTGGGCCGGAGGAAGGCGCGCCTCTCCCTGTATTTGGACGGGGCAGCGCCTGAGGCTGGGAACCATGATTACACCCCCACCCCCCAACCCCACCCCGCGGACGTCGCCCGAATTCCGAGAAGGCTGCAAGCCCCCTCAACACCGAGCCAGGCCTGACAGCGCGGGTTGGCGCCCATCACCGCTGCAGGGGGCCAGATCGGTGCCAGCTCAACAGGAGGCGGGAAGGGCAGAAGCGGCGAGGGACGGGAACCAGGCACCCCCAGCGGGCGCTGGCCCCCGGTCCGCTGTGCCGCCCGCGGGAGCCCCGGAACCCAGCTGCGGAAACAGGAGGGCCGCCGCTCCAGGGCCGCGCGGAACCCACGCGCCTCCGCGCACCCCCACCCCCGGATTCCGCTCCCGGACTCAAAGCCCGCGCCGTCCCACCCCTCCCCCGTCGCCATGTGGGCGCGGGAAGTGACTGCCCGCCTCGGCCTCCCGGCACTCTCCGCACCGCCCCCCCCTCGGTTTCCTGGAAGGAGAAAGTCGTCGAGCCCTCCCCGCCCGCACTCGCAGGAGGTTCACCGGGCGGCGGGGTAACCTCGGGGCCGCGGGCCGGGCGTCCCCGCCGCCCCCCCCCAATCCCCCCTCAGGCCGCGCCGCGTGGCGCGCAGGCCGCGTACCCGCAGGGCTGCCCCCGCCGGTCCTCCGCTCCGGGTCCGCGGACGCAGGCCGCCGCCGCGGTGCCGCCCAGCCGCGCGCCCCGGGAAAGGAAGTCGGGAGAAGAGGCGGGGCCGTGGCGGGGCCGGAAGGTGACAGCGGCCGGGCGGTCACGCGCTCCGCGGAGGGGCCCGGCGGGCGCGCACCTGGCGGGACGCTTCCCGGCGGGAGCGCCTCAGCTCCCCGTCCCGGGCGCGCGGCTCCTCAGGACCCCGCGCCCTGAAGGCTCGTCGCGGCGCCGGCCGCCTCCCTTTGTCGAGGTGGATGGTTTGGGATTTGCTCCTGACTCGGCGCCGGCCCCGGGACGCCCGAGAAGCCGCCCCGAGGCCGCTGGGCTGGGGGCCCCGCGGGGTCGCCCCGCCGACCCGCGCCCCGGGCTCCCCGGGCTCCCCGAGCTTCTCCGCCCGCGTTCGTGGCCCCCGGCTTGGGCCTCACGGGGCACTGCTCGCGGCACACCCCGGGGCTCGGACTTGATCATCTCGCTTTTTTTTTTTTTTTTTAGGTCTCTGATTCTGGGATGGGGTCGTTTTCGTGGGTGGTGGTGAGTCTGTTTTTACCCACCGGGCTCCCCCTTCAACGTAAAGCCCTCGCTGTAAATATGTATTATTTGTTCATCAGAGGCGACCCGAAAGAGTCTAGAAGTGCAAGGAAACTGGCAAGGGCGGGAAGTAAGGAGACCTGGGTTTGGCCCCCGGAGCGGGCCTGCGGTGTGGCCGAGAGCCTCACGGTTTCCTACGGGAGGGGTGGGGCGGGACGCTGTGTCTCGAGGCACAAATGTCTCAGGGCTACATTTGCATTTGTGCCTTGCTTGGCCAGCTCAGGGTTTCCACTGACGCGGTGTGGAAGGGCCAGAGGTGTGCGCTGGGGGCCGCCAGCCCTTCCCACCCCAGCGGGGAGCTCACCCAGCTCAGCCTTCCCGCAGAACCTGGCCTGTAATAAAACTGCTCACACTGTGATACAGCCCTAGAAAACGTTCAGAGACACAGGGCATGGGTCCCTAGGAAAGACTGCAGTGACATTTCCGAAGCTATACGTCCCAAGGAAGTAAATCTGATTTTCTTGAACGTCATTCATTATTCTATTCCAACGCTTGGCCCCTAATCCTGGAAAAACTTGGGTTCCAGCACAGAGAATGACAAAAGAACCCTTTCTGTTTTACACACAGGACTTGAGGATCTTGTCAGCACTCCATAAATAACATCGACTGTACTGATCATGAGTTCTGATCTGCACAGCCCAGATCTGAGCCACTAATCCAAACAAAAGCTTGTTAACTATATTCATTTAGCTTCACAGGGCAAGAATGCTGAGAATAAACAGTTCGTTCTGTCTAATGTCTCACACCCGCGGACATACCGTTCTTCATCATCATGGGCCAGCCTGTAGATTCCATAATTAAATTATGTACTGCGTTTCGTGGATGCAGGGAAAGCAAAGAGAAAAATGCTTCATCGTTAACTATAGATATATAGATTTTTTTGCTTTGATAAGTCAGGCTTGAAAGAGCTACATAGATTAAGATGATGATTTTTAATGTCAAGTTAACTTTACTTGGCTGGCTTGTCGCCACTAAAATGTATTATATATGGAGCCCTTGGTTCCCCTCCCCACTCCCAAACCCACGGCTTGGTCTTTGTCACGCTCATCTATAGCCTTTGAGTCTTCGTGGATTCATTTCTCTTCTTACCAGTCTGCAGCCAATACATCACCAATTGCTGCTGGTCCTTCACCCACAACATCATTAAGCTTTCTTCCTTCCTGTGCTCTGTAAAGACTGTCATACATAATTTAGTTACTTCTCATCATTCTCCATTTTGGTCAGCGCACACACTCCCCTCTGCAATAAATCCAGGATCCTGCTTGCTGCAAACACATTATCCTGAATGTTCCTGTGTTTCACAGCAAGTCTCTCATCTTACAAGATGACATCATTCATAATACAGGAAACCCTCCTGATTCATAGTCTCAGAACTTGAAGTTTCAATTATTCTGCACCAACAAGCCAACCCAGGCAGCCAAGGAGGAAGAAAAATGCATTCCTTGGTTTATCTTGCTCATTAACACCTTGTACCTCCAAGTGTGACTGTAAGTGTTAAATCTCTCTTGCTACTACCTTGTGTTTTGGTTTATAATTGAGGATCTTTCTCCACCTACCATAGACCCAGAGGCTCACTGTTTTCAGCCACATCAAGAGCAAGGAGAGGGGCGCCTGGGTGGCTCAGTTGGTTAAGCATCCAACTTTGGCTCAAGTCATGACGTCACAGTCTGTGGGTTCAAGCCCTCCATCGGGCTCTGTGGTGACACCTCAGAGCCTGGAGCCTGCTTCAGATTGTGTCTCCCTCTCCCTCTCTCTGCCCCTCCCCCACTCACTCTCTGTCACTTTCTCTCAAAATAAAATAAAGACATAAAAAAATTTTAAAGTGCAAGGAGAGGGGGCTTCACATAGGGGTGAACGCAGTCAGATCTTTGTTAAGGACTCCTGTCCCAGGCTTAGTGTGGCTCCTCTGTTTACGGGGCTGTGGGCTATCTATGCCTGATCTATAGCATAACCTGGAATATATTTCAGTATCTCAAAGGTAGAGGATCCAGATTAAAAAGATAGAATTCAGGGCACCTGGGTGGCTCAGTTGGTTGAGTATCCGACTTTGGCTCAGGTCATGATCCCATGGTTCGTGAGTTTCGAGGACTTAAGGATATTGTCAGCACTCCATAAATAATAGCGACTGTAACAATCATGAGTTCTGATTCACCACTGTCAACGCAGAGCCTGCTTTGGACCCTCTGTCCCACCCCCAACCCCCCACCCCATTCCTCCCCCACTCATGCTCTCTCTCTCTCTCAAAAATAAATAAACATTTTTGAAGAAGAAAAGAAAAGAGGGAAGAGAAGGTGAGATTTCTTTGAGGGCTGCCTCAGATGGGGCTTTGATGGCATTCATGAACGTCTGCTCCATCAAGATACCGCTTACCACTTCCCCCAGCACCTCTTCTTGCCTGAGAAAGGATGTGGCTCGTGACCCAGAAATGGAGTCTGGAAAGCCGCCAGCGTCCTCAGCGTTGTCATGGGGGAAGGGCACAGGCCTTGGCTCAGACCAGAGAATGAGCTATAGTTCCATTTCTCACCACCCAGATGACCTTCAGAAGGGACTCCTGTTCTTAGAGTCTTTGTTTCCTCATCTGCTCAAATCTGTAACATTCGATCATTCCATCATTTTTTATTAATTGTCTGTGCTCGGTGTCGCAAATACCAACAATGAACAGGATAAGCCAGTCCTCACCCCTTTTCTCAAATAAACCTCAGTGTCATTGCTAGCTCAGTTAACACGATAGATGTTCTTTAAAAATTAATTTTTTTAATATTTATTTACCTTTGAGAGAGAGTGTGAGCGGGGGGTGGGGGGTGCAGAGAGAGAGGAAGACACAGGATCCGAAGCAGGTTCCAGGCTCTGAGCTGTCAGCACCTGCTCGAACTCACAAACCATGAGATGAAGTCGAATGTTTAACCAACTGAGCCACCCAGGGGTCCCTACAGAATAAATGTTGTGATAAGGAGCGCCTGGGTGGCTCAGTTGGCTAAGTGTCCAACTTTGGCTCAGTTCATGATCTTCCAGTCTGTGAGTTCTAGCCCCACGTTGGGCTCTGTGCTGATAGCTCGGAGCTCGGAGCCTGCTTTGAGTTCTGTGCCTCCCTCTCTCTCTCCAAAATAAATAAAGATTAAAAAAAAGAAGAAGAAGAACATGAGGTCAGTCATTCGTGTCCAATGGAAGACACAGATAGCAAATTGATATATCAGAATATAGGTTTCCTAAGTAGGATTTTTGTTATGAGTTGATGCACCCAATTAGCTTTCTCATCACACATCTTCAAAAGCAAAATGAAGATCAAGGAGGAAACGTTAACTTGGCATATGCCCAGAGCTGGCTGCTTCGCTATTGTAGGTCAGTAAATGTTAGTTGCCCACATGAAGGAATAGACAAAGATTGCTTCATGCCAAGAATTTCGGAGCGTCCATCACGTAAAGAGAAGTCTTCATCTGTAAAGCCTATTCATATCTCTCTATCTGCTGCCTTTTTCTCCTTGCATTTAACGGACCCGAAAAAGACATCGGATAAGTGAAGCCCGAAGGCTGGGAGATCAGGAAGCAAGGGTGAGCACAATTGTTTTGTTTTCAAGACATGTCTTATCTTGGGATTAGGATTTTGGTCTTAGCCCACAAAGAACCATCTGTAGAATCAGAATGAAAGGCTGCCGGGAAAGGCTGTCTGCATTTTCCTGGTGATGACAGTCCTCCTCACGACTTGCTTTTCCTCTCCAAAGTTGAACTTGTAGCCTCTTTCATACATAACTGGTTGAAGTTGATGGAAATTACATGTCTTATCACTTCTTAAAAGGAAAAAAAAAATAACAGAAAATGTAAATCTGAAAGAAATGGGCAATTTTCTTGTACCACTTTATATTTCTGTGTAAGTTACCGAGTGCCAATCATTCTTACTTTTTAAAATTCAAATTTGTCAAGCAGCGTGTAAGCTTTCAGTGTGGTACAAGAAAAGATAATGCCTCGTGTGGAACACAGTAGTGCTGCAAAAGTACCTGCCAAAAGAGAATTGATCAGATTACTGGTTTTATAGAAGTATTAACGACCTCATTAAGTTGTCCCTCTACCGGGGGGGGGGGGGGGGGGGGGGGGGGGGGGTCACCGTGGAATGTACTGAAAGGTTATCAGCAAGGCATTATGGTCCTGGAGATAGAATTCTTTATTGACATCAAAGTCCCCGCTCCTTTCGTAGTGTGTATGCGAACTACGGGAATCATTGTAAATGAAAGCCCGTGTTAAACAGTTCTCCGAAGGGGCACCTGGGTGGCTCAGTCAGTTAAGCATCTGACTTCGGCTCAGGTCATGATCTTGCAGTTCGTGGGTTCGAGCCCCATGTTGGGCTCTGTGCTGACTGCCAGCTCAGAGCCTGGAGCCTGTTTCAGATTCTGTGTCTCCCTCTCTCTCTGACCTTCCCCTGCTCACGCTCACTCTCTCTCTCTCTCTCTCCCTCTCTCTC